AAGAAAGTGAAGGAAGAGATACACAGCTGGGGTTACATCAAGCTAAAAGATTCTGTACAGCAAAAGAGACATTAGCCAAAACAAAGAGACACCCTATTGATTGGGAGAAATTTTTTGCACTCAATATAACTGATAAGAGACTGATCACAAAGATCTACAAAGAGCTCACTTGATTCAACAAAAACAAAATAAACAACCCAGTCAAAAAATGGGCAGAAGAGCTAAAAAGACACCTCTCCAAAGAGGAAATGCAAGTGGCCAACAGGTATAGGAAAAAATGTTCAACATCCCTCATAATAAGGAACATGCAAATCAAAACCACAATGAGATACCACCTTATACCAGTGAGAATGACACATATTAAAAAAACAGGCAACAACAAATGTTGTCGAGGATGTGGTGAAAAAGAAACTCTCCTACATTACTGGTGGGAGTGCAAACTGGCCCAACTGCTATGGAAAGCTGTGTGGAAGTTCCTCAAACTACTAAAATTGGAGCTACCATATAACCTAGAAATTCCACTCTTAAGAATCTCTCCAAAGAAGACAAAAACATTAATTCAAAAGGATACCTGCAATTGGAACAAGAACAGACATACAGACCAATGGAATCGAATAGAAAATCCAGAAATAAATCCACAGATTTATGGTCAACTAATCTTTGACAAAGGAGCAAAGACTATGCATTGGAGCAAAGAAAGTTTGTTCAATAAATGGTGCTGGGAAAACTGGGTCGCTACATGCAAAAGAATGAAGCTTGACCACTACCTCACACCATACACAAAAATCAACTCAAAATGGATTAAAGAACTAGACATAAGACCTGAAACCATAAAATATATAGAAGGAAATATAGGCGAAACACTACGTGATCTGCACATCAAAGACATCTTTACAGACACATCACCCAAAGCAGTGATAGTGAAGGCAAAGATAAACAGCTGGGACTACATCAAATTAAAGAGCTTCTGCACAGCAAAAGAGACAATAACAAAAACAAAGAGAAACCCCACCAACTGGGAGAACATTTTTGCACCCAACACTAATGATAAAGGACTGATCACAAAAATCTGCAAAGAACTGATGAGACTCAGCAACAACAAAGAAAATAATCCAGTCAAAAAATGGGCACAAGAGCTAAAAAGAAACTTCTCTGAAGAGGAAATGCAAATGGCCAACAGGCATATGAAAAAATGTTCAACATCACTTGCCATCAGGGAAATGCAAATCAAAACTACCATGAGATACCATCTCACACCAGTGAGAATGGCACATATTAAAAAAACTAGCAACAACAAATGCTGGCGAGGGTGTGGAGAAAAAGGAACTCTTCTGCACTGTTGGTGGGAGTGCAAACTGGTCCAACCACTGTGGAGAGCTGTGTGGAGATTTCTGGACCTACTAAAGATAGAGCTTCCATATGATCCAGCAATTCCACTCCTAGGTATTTACCCAAAGGACACAGAAACATCAATTCCAAAGAACACCTGCACCCCTATGTTTATAGCAGCACTGTTTACAATAGCTAAGCTTTGGAAACAACCCAAATGCCCAAAAATAGATGACTGGATCAAGAAGATGTGGTACATATATACCATGGAATATTACTCAGCATTCAAAAAAGATAAACACATGCAATTTGCAGCAACATGGATGGCGCTGGAAGGGATCATGCTCAGCGAAATAAGCCAAAAAGAAAAAGAAAAATACCGGATGGTCTCACTCATAGCAGGAATCTAGAAAACTTAAATAAGGGACCAGGAAAATGAATAACTATAAGAAAGTGAAAATCAAAATCAACAAAAAACTATGAACCAGAGACAATTTTAGGGGGGCGGGGGCGGGAGGGGAGGGATTGGGGTCAGAATGGGGGGGCTGCAATTGTATGGGGAATATAACAATAAAATTTATAAAAAAAAAAAAATAATAATAATAAAAAAAAAAAAAAAAAAAACAAAAGGATACCTGCACCCCTATGTTTATTGCAGCACTATTTTTTTTTTCAGGAAGCATTTTTTTTATTTTTTATTAATAAATTTTATTTTTATGTTCCCCATACAATTGCAACCCCCTTATTATTATTATTTTTATTTATTTATTTTTTAATTTTATTTTTATATTCCCTAAACAATTGCAACCCTTTTATTTTGACCCCAATCCCTCCCCCCCGCCCCGCTCCCCTCATAATGTGTCTCTGGTTCATAGTTGTTTGTTGATTATGATTTTCACTTTCTTATAGATATTCATTTTCCTGGTCCCTTATTTAAGTTTTCTAGATTCCTGCTATGAGTGAGACCATCCGGTATTTTTCTTTTTCTTTCTGGCTTATTTTGCTGAGCATGATCCCCTCCAGCGCCATCCATGTTGCTGCAAATTGCATGTGTTTATCTTTTTTGAATGCTGAGTAATATTCCATGGTGTATATGTACCACATCTTCTTGATCCAGTCATCTATTTTTGGGCATTTGGGTTGATTCCAAAGCTTAGCTATTGTAAATAGTCCTGCTATAAACATAGGGGTGCAGGTGCTATTTGGAGTTGATGTTTCTGTGTCCTTTGGGTAAATACCTAGGAGTGGAATTGCTGGATCATATGGAAGCTCTATGTTTAGTAGGTCCAGAAATCTCCACACAGCTCTCCATAGTGGTTGGACCAGTTTGCACTCCCACCAGCAAACTGGTGGGAGTTTGCACTGCAGGAGAGTTCCTTTTTCTCCACACCCTCGCCAACATTTGTTGTTGCTAGTTTTTTTAATATGTGCCATTCTCACTGGTGTGAGATGGTATCTCATGGTAGTTTTGATTTGCATTTCCCTGATTACGAGTGATGGTGAACATTTTTTCATATGCCTGTTGGCCATTTGCATTTCCTCTTCAGAGAAGTTTAGCACTATTTGCAATAGGTAAGATATGAAAACATCCCAGATGCCCAAAAATAGATGATTGGATCATGAAGATGTGGTACATATACATAATGGAATACTATTTAGCAATCAAAAAAGATAAACTCATGTTATTTTCAACAACATGGATTGAACTGGAAGGGATAATGCTCAGTGAAAAATGTCAGAAGGAAAAAGAAAATTATTGAATGGTTTTGCTTATAGGAGGAATATAGGGGAAACAAATAAGGGATCAGGGAAAAAAATAATAAATAGAAAAACAAAATTAACAGGAAACTACAAATCACAGACATTCTGCAGGGAAGGAGGAAGGAAAGGGATCAAAAAAGAGGAGGGAAGAGCACAAGGAACTATGGTGGTGGTGCACGGGTGTATTGGTGGTGGAAATTTTATGAAGAATACACCTCATAGGAGAAAGCAAATATTGTACAAAAATGAACAATGCTGTAAAATATATATAAATAACTTTAAAAGATTAAAAAAAGATGTGGACTATAGATGCAATGGAATACTACTCAGCTGTTAATAAAGATAAAATGTGACTATCTGTGACAACGTGGGTAGAACTGGAGGGGATTATACTAGGGAAATCATTCAGAAGGAAAAGGCAAATACCAGTTGATTTCACTCATACATGAAATATAAAGAAACAAGACAAAGGAACAGACAATGCTAAACCAAAACAAACCCTTGAAATATGACTACAGAACTGAGGCTACCAGAGGGGGAGGGTGGGAGGTAGAGAGCAAAGGTGGATGGGTCCCAGTGAGCAATAGTGGAGGATTATTGGGGATGTGGAGGTGGGTGTGGTGTGCTAACATAATTTTGTAGAAGTGTGAACCTATTTCCCTAAATCTTATACAGTGTTGCAAACCAACATTGCCTCAGTAGCATAATTAAAAACAAAATAAAAGGAGTATAATAAAGGAAAACACCTCAAAGAATTAAATTAATATAATGAATGCAGAGCACTCAATCCAGTGCCGGGTGCACAGAAAATGCTCAATAAATGCTGACATCATCGCCAGCCTAGTTCAAATGTCATCTTTTTCATGAAGCCTTTTTGATTTCTTTAGTCAGAACAATCTTTCTCCTCCTTCTGTTCTCTCTCTCTCACAGTACTTTGTATTTGTCTTATGGAATTTCACACATACTGTCTTGTAAATAGCTGTGGAATATTAGACTTCTGACATAACTATTTCCCACTCAGGACTTAGCACACACTAAGTGTTTACTACATCTCTGATTGTTTGTGGAGGTGCTTTCTTTCATGTGTTTGGTTGATCGAGGTTTATTCCTGTTTTTCTGGGAAGCTCTGAAAGAACATCTACAGGGCCTTCCCTGGTGGTGCAACGGTTGAGTGTTGGGCTGCGAAGCTGCCCGCAGCCTCCGCAGCGCCAGTTCGATCCCTGGCCGCCAGCGAGGGTCCCACATGGTGCGGCAGACCTCTCCTGTCTCACCCGCTGCTCCCCTCAGCAGTGTACTTCGTCAGTCTGCTGTTCTGTTCCCCGCTTTGGGTCTGGTGAATTCTCTCACCCTCCCGCGCTTCTGACTGTACCCAGTGCTTGTATAAATAAATAAATAAATCTTAAAAAAAAAAACCTTTAAGATTATGGAACAAGAGAAAAGAGAAAATTTTAATATTATTGAGCCACTATTGTACTCAAGCTAGAAACACAGAGATGAGTCTATTCCTTTTTCTCCCATCCCCAAAATGGGAGAGGTAGTTACAGGTAGAGGAACGAAAAGAGGAAGAACTGAACAGCATCCCACAGTGGGTTGTAAGACGGTAAAGGAGAATGGCTGACAATGGAAGTGAGACAGACACAAGGACAGAATCAGAGAGGGACATGGCGAGGATTGACACACTGACCCTTCAAGATAACAGACCCTAGACCTGATGTGGACCGCAAAAATAGGGTTTTAAAATTAGGGTTTTTAAAATTAGAATAGGGAAATAGAGCAATAAGAGCCCCTGGATGTAGGGGGAATTACAGGCCCATCCCCATGATTTCATTATCTTACTCAAGGCTCTTTGATGAGAAATATGTCTAGGAAGAGTCACATTTCTTTGAATCATTTATTTCCTTTCTTTTTAGAAACTGCGGCAGATCCTCTTCGGAAATACAGTGCATGTCTTCAGTTGTGACTGGAAAAAGGCCCATTTCAGGTTCCATGAGTCTTTTTCTGACCTGTCTTTCACTTTGGAAATAGGAAAGGTAATAGCACGCCTTAATTTTTTAAAAAATTCCTATCTCCATATTCCCTATTCGTGTTTTTTTCCATTCTCATCCATATGAATGTGTTACTATAGTCATTTGAAATCATTATTTATAAATTTCACCCTTAAATGATAACAGGCTGTTATAAAGTATACTGTCTGCATTGCAGCAAACTCTCAAACTTCTTTTTCTCCAACCCTCCCCCCATTCTACTTTTTCTGACTCTTCTCTCCAGGTTCTAAGCATCCCTGAGGATTTAGAAGGCTGGAGGATGTCTAGAAGCTTCTCTCTAACTTGTTTAAAATCTCAATTTTTCATATCATTGATGACCAGTCACATCGAAGTTTAAGGGCTATCAGCCAGCTCATTACTTTCTACAAATCTAAAAGTTTCATATTAAGCCGGGGCATAGTAAAGATAGGAAGGAGTAGGAAAAGGACATATATCCCCATGCCAGTCTATAGGGCTCACAAAGAAGATGATCATAGCAGCTTCTAGATGTCCCTCGGTGTCCAGCCACAGCCCATAGGGAGGGATGGCACTTGCATAGTATAGTAGCCTCCCTGATTCCAGGGGCTCCAAGACACCTGTGGATGCCTGAAACCATGGAGAGCACTGAATCCTATATAAACTATGTTGTTTTTTGACTCTATATACATACCTATGATAAGGTTTAGTGTATAAATTAGACACCAAAAGTAACAGCAAGAACTAAATAATAAAATGATTATAACAATATATATAATGATAATTATGTGAAAATGCTATCTCTCTCCCACTCCCCCATCTCAAAATATCATTGTGGGTTAGTCAATTAAAACTGCAGAAAGCAAAACCTCAGGTAACGAGAGCTCATGTCCCTTTACTAAGCCTAGGGGACATGGTATACCAGGAGGGGAACAGTTTCAGAGAATAGATAATGGCATACATTGCCAAAAGTTCTCTTCTGTAACACTGGCCGGCCCCAAGGGGGTTCTGCTGAGATCATACAGCCCTTTTCCAGCCTTCTCATGCTTCAATGTCTCCCTCTATTTCAGGGTGGTGTCCAAAGCATTCAGATGGCTGTACAGGGATCCATCATCAAACACTTGTTGTTTACAGGGAATGGAAAAGACTGTAAGTGTCACAGGTAAGAAGTCTACAATAATTACTTCAAAGAGTTACTCATTTCACCACAACTTTTATATGCTAAGTTGTCATAATCAAGCCCCTGAGTTGCTTCAGGAAAGGGACTTCTGCTTTATTACACAGAAATGTCTCTGATCTCCCAGACGGATCTGATTTCGTGACTAAGGTTGGCTTCTGGAGTCACTTTCAATGCTCAGTTGCAGGAATAATGTTGACAGTTTTATGCTCTATTGCAGACCACCCTGTCAGGTGAAATTAATCACCAGATCTGATATGGTACTTGACACTATCTGACTGGAAGCTTCAACCTAACAACTTCAGGGAGGACCAAAAGGGATTAAATGAAGCATTGTACATGTTTGGTAGTTGTCTACTTAAATAATCAGTTTAAATCACTTTTTTTTTTTTTTTTAGAAATTAACAAATCCCTAAGAGGTACAAAGCTCTATGCTTGATGTAAGAGAAAATACAAGAAAGTAAAAGGCACATGTCTGCCCACAGGCAGGATAAGGTATTATCCCAAACAGAAACTAAGTGGATAATACACTCTAAGATCACGTATAGTCAGGTTCCTTAGAAGTCAGAAATGGGAGCCCACAGGGAGTGCATTCTCTAAATAAATCTCTTGCATAAGGAGATTTGGCTTCTGGAGTCACTTGCAATGCTCAGTTGCAGGAATAATGTTGACAGTTGCAGGAATAATGTTGACAGTTTTATGCTCTACTGCAGACCACCTTGCAGACCACCCTCTTGCATAAAGAGATTTATTTAGGGAATGCGCTCCGGAGAAACCTATAAGAATGAGGGGAGCAGAATTGGGAAGGAGAAGAAGCTAAGGAAGAACATGGTTTCCAATGATGTTTCACTTCTGCCTGATCTGTGGGAACCCTGGAGCGTCAGTTGCCTGTGTTTGATAGGAGAGCAGGGCTTCATTCCTCCCATCCCAGTCAGGTAGAGGCTCTGGGCCATCTTTAGGGAGGAAGTACAGCTCCTCGTCACCACCGGAGTGTTGGCTTCAATTCTTCAGAGAAAGTTGAAAAGCAGTAGTACCTGACACAGCCATTTCCACCAAGTAAAAGGGAGCCCAGGGAATCTAGATGGAATGTGCAGAATATTTGCTACATGAATGTAGAGTATTTGATTTAATATTTGGTATATAAATATTAAATACACGGTAATGGGTAACTTATTTTAGACTTGCTCTACAAAACCTTTCTGAATCTTCTTGGTTATGAGTTCTCCTCCTTCTTCTGTACTCTCATAACACTTCTATTCTCATCTACCTTATACTAGGGTTTCGGAGTTTGAATTCCTTGTTACAAATGTCTGTGTTGCCATAGAGGTGGGTGGGTGATATAAATGACAGCTGAGTTCATTAAAAGTCTCTATCATGTGTTTCTTCATCAGAATAAGTTGTCAATGTAAATATTTAGAGAGTAAGTCCAGTAAAGTCTACCACGGAAAGGTTGGCTCCTCTGTCCTGGGGAAGTTTGACAGCCTGAGATCACTCAAGGAAGTGAAATGGCTAAAAATAGGGAGTCAGAACCCAGGACATCTCTTCAAATCCCTGCACCACCACTTTAAAGGTGAATGACCAGGGGCAAATTACTCACCTCTCTGTGATACTCTTCACCTCTGAAATGGAATAGTGGTAGTATCCATCTCACAGGCCTATTGTGAGTATAGAATGAGGTGAAGTGCTTAGCCCAAAACTGGGCATAGTGACAGCCAGATGAATGTAGCTGCAGTCAGTGAGAGCAGCCAGCAGTAGACCTCATGCTACATGGAGGGCATGATCAGTGGAAGAGCAGATGTGAGTGTTAAAGGCAGACAAGTGCATGAGAAAAGTGATGGAGGTAGAGTGTGAAAATATATTCTGGGGACTGGATCATCTTTGGCAGAGGGTTTGTAAAATTGAAACCTGAGAGATAGAACTGGAAAGATTGTTTGGGATTGTGCTTAGAGAGGGCCTGTTTTATCGAGATAAAGCATTTGGATGCATCCTGTGGGGATTTAGGGGAGAGAATAGTGTTGAGACTCAGTGGGATGATGGTATGTGGGGAGGGATTGGCTGAAACACCAGAGACACAATATGCTACTGTAAGTAAAACAATGTCAAAGGACAATACTTAAAACAGTACTAAAACAGTTCTGAACATAGGGGCAGGTCACTATCTGTGGGTTCTCATCCGTGCCACTCAGGCTTAGGATAAAACTACAAAGGGGTTTATTTAACAATTAAGAGACTGGAAAAACTAGAGAGTTTCTGAGGTCGTAAGTGGGCTGTCCCACCCTAAATAGTTCAGCAATGTCCAGTAGTTCCAAACAAAGCTGCTCATTCAGGATGCACTGTCCCATCAACAAAGGCCTGAATCTGGTAGCACACTGGGAGGCACTAATGGGCAATCAGAAGCAGTGGACAGCTCTCAAAGGTGGCCAGACAGAATGCCAGCCATTGATCAGCAGTGCTAGTCTGCACTGGTCAAGAGTGCCAGTCAGCACTGGTCACCAGGGGGCAGTGTCAGAGACACCACTTCTGTAGCTCTTTGTGAGTTACTTATATCAACCAATAGTTAACAGCTCTTTGAGACGCTGGCCCAAGGTTGATGGTACTCCTTGCATGTAATATCAGAGGTATGGTTGAAGCAGCTTCTCTGCAAAGTTCTATGGCGGCCTGCAGGTTTAAGGAGGTCTAGAGATCTATGGAGGTTTTGGGGTCTTGTGGAGATCTGCTTGATGTCTACTGAATGCCATGGAAGTCATCTATTTGATGCTTCTTCAGAGGCTTTCTGCTGAATTATTCTTCCCTCTTCAGAGGCCACTGAGTGAATCAAGCTGGCTCCAGCTCTTTCTTATGTCCTCTTCAGTGTCCTCAACCTACAAGCCTGGTTGGACCATTTCCATCCTAAGTGTTTGATTGGTGCTGTTAAGCCAGGGATGGCCTTCTCAGGGGCAGGGAAATTGCCACTGCAGCCCAAGTGTGGCTGCCTGCTCTGGGGTCAGAGGGGCACCACCATTCACCACTGTTGCCCACCATCTTTAGAGTGGCCTGGGAATTGGCTGCCAGAGGCCCAGGGGGTCTGCTCACACTGGGGGTGGCAAGTGGTGAAATGCCCGCAGCCGCTGCTGCTGTTATCACTTTCACAGAGGCCTGGGACCTGCTCAAAGGTAGCGAGCTTGGGCAGCAGGTGGGGAAACTCCCACCACTGAGGTCCAAGCACACATGCAGGGCAGGAGTACCTGGCACCAGGGGAGGGGCTGCCCGCTGGTGGCAGGCTAAGGCAGCTGCCTTAGCCCCAATAAAGCCTCCCTGCTGGCTTGGCATGCCGGTGGCCTTTCTCCTGCAATTCATGCCAGGCCAGGCGGGGTGAGCCTTGCAGCTGCAGCCTCAGTGTGGCTGCTAGGGCTGGGCAGTGGGGCAGGAGACTGCTGTTGCTCATATCCAGTGGCCTCTGGTCTCCATAAGGTCCCTTTTATATAAGGATGTCCATTCCAGTGACAGCAGGGAGGACCAAGTCCTCCTCAACATTCTCACAGAGGATGTCAGGAATATAGTAGGATGTTCCTGCTGTATTCAGAAGGGAACATAAAAAGGGAGATCCCAGCAAACTGTGAGGTGACAGTTCATGCCAGTGTTTTCCTACCCCTACCTCCTGCATTATAGTTTCTGTGCAATAAGCAAGCAGGAGCAGGAGCAAGCCCTGGCCTCAGCACTAGCCGGGATCCTGTGGACTGCAGGAGCAGCTCAAAAGGCTACCGTCTGTCTTGTCACTGAAAACACCTACATTGCTTCAACTCTTGACTACTCCAGGGATAATTTCACGGAGAGGGTGAGTATCCACCCTCCCATCCTGTCAGGGAAGTCTGAGCTCATACTAGACTTACCCTGGATATGAGAGGGAGTCCGTCAATGTTCTTTTAGTGTCTGATATTGCCAAATGCACTTCTAAGGAGGCAAGGACTGAGGACTATAAGTGGTCCAAGCAGCCCAAGTGTAGAATCCTACTGTGAATTTCCAGTTCCACAATTGACCATGATCAACAATATCCCATGCCTGAAGGCATCTTAGACTCCATTTCCTTATTCACTGCCTTAAAGATAGCTAAATTCTACATATTAGGAAAAAAATCAATTTCCAGTTTACCACTGAAGATAGCATATTGAATTAAATCAGAAAAATATAAAAGTGCTACCAATAGTTACCAAGCTTTACCATATATGCTTTGCAAGGCCTTATATAAGATACTGTCAGTTTTTAGCAATGTGCATTTGCACTGAAACACCCCTTCCCCTGTGGGTAATTGTGACCTGACACCTCTTAAATGTGATTTTCATTTTTGTCTTCTATTCTTGATTTATAGCTGTGCCTGTTTGAACTCTTAGAGAAGGAATCCACTGAGAAATTCATCTATGATCATTTACCGTGTGTAAGTATTCAAGTCTTGAGATAATTCCTTTATGTTAAACTGATCTTACAGGAATCTTCTTTTTATTTTTTAAAGATTTATTTTATTTATACAAGAACTACAGGCCAGATGCGTGGGAAGGTGAGAGGATTCACCAGAGACAGCGGGAAAAGAATAGGCAGACTGACGAAATACACTGCTGAGGGGCACAGCAGGCGAGACAAGAGAGGTCTGCTCGCCATATGGGTTGCTCTGAGGCTGGGGGGATTGAACCGGCACTGTGGAGGCTGTGGACAGCTTCACACTGTTGTGCTCAACCCCCTGAGCCACCAGGGAGGTCCTAGGAATCATCTTTTTAAAGAATATATTCCTAGTGATGTTTATTTAAAAATTCCAGGTCATTTTGAGGGCCGAGAAAGGATATAACAAGGAATAGGAAAACCCACCTCTAGCTCCCTACACCTTTAAAAGAGGCCACATCACACACAATTCCACTCACAAATATCTGGTTCTCCTGGGTTCATCAAACCCAGAGAATAATACTATGGAGAGCACATACTAGTATTTTTTTGTGTATGTGAGTGTGGGAAGAGAAGATATAAAAATAGAAAACTCCTTACCTCATCTAATGGGTAATAAATAAGAATGGTTGAGACTGTTTAAATGACATTCACATTGACCCCAGTGACATTCACATTGACCCCAAAATCCAGTGAGGTGGATTTTGGTCTGAGAAGGGGAGACATATTTCTCCTCATCTAGAGCATCTTCCACACCATGTCCTCTCCTACTACACTTCCTCCCTACCCTGAGGTTAGGGTTGGGTGTAACCTCACGGGGCAGCAGGAGTGTTGGGAGCAGTGCAGGACAGAGGAAAGACAACTCAAAGTCCAAGGAGAGAGAGAGAGAGAGAGAAACCTAGAGGGCCTTGTGCCTTTGGAGATGCAGCAATATTTTCCAGGCCAGTCTCACATTTATTGGGTATCAGATTCAGGGAAGGTGAGCAAGTACGTGGAGGAGTGTATGGAGGAATAAGCATGATGGGGATATGGATTGTATGTTGTGAGGATGGTTACTGAGGATACATAATTTTCTGCCACAGGCTACGGGGTAGTGAATAGGGGCTGCTGCCTGGGGGGATCCACCAGCAGCAATGTTGATCAAAACATTGTATCTCTAGTTTCTGTTTATACTTAACTTTCTGACAAGTTTGTCTAGCTGGTTATGCTAATCTAGTCATAATGTCTGCCTGCTGTTTTCAGCAGATACTGGTTTTGCCAGTATGTTCCTCATACAAGACTTTTGTCCTGGTGAGGACCCCCTCCCCCCAACATGACTCTATATTTTAGCTTGCCCAGCAGGAACTTTGGGTGCCAAGACAATATCCCGAGAATAAGGGGAGCTAGGGAATCCACAGGTGGGACACAGGAAGGGACAATAATAGTAGAAAATAAAAGGAGTGTTTCAAAGATTCCTCAGCATAGAAAGAAATCAAAGTTGGTTTTCTGAAGAATCAGAACTTAATGATGTGAGAGCAGAAGACAACTAGCTGGATAACAACAAAGCCATTTAACTATTATTCATGAAACCCACTGCTCCATTCCTTCAAAAGGTCATGAAGGCAGAGAACTTTGGTGTTAAGTTCACAGTCACATACTAGTTATACGATCTTTGTTACACTAGTGCCTCCCCCAGGGCTAACTTCCCCACCATCTCCTAGTCTGTGTGGTAGGCAGAAGAATGGTACCCCCAAAGATGTCTCTACCCTACTCCCTAGAACCTGTGAAAAACTGTTATATGGCAAAGGGGAATTATGGTTGCTAATTGGCTGACTTTAAAATAAGGAGATTATTCTAGATTACCCAGGTGGGCCCAATGTAATCACAGAAGTCTCAACCCATAGAAAGGACAGGCAGAAGAAGTAGAGTAGTGTGATAAAGGAGGAGTGCTACCTGCCATAGATAGCTCTGAATATGAAAGGGTGGTGGGTCATGAACTAAGGAATATGGTCAGAGCCATTAGAAACTGGAAAAAGCAAGGAAACAGATTCTTCTCTAGAGCTTCCAGAAGGAACCAGAACTGCTGACATTTATTTTTGCCCAATTAGACCAATTTTGGACTTCAAACCTCCAGAACTGTAAAGTAATGAGTTTGTATTACTTAAACTACTAAATGTATGATAATTTGTTATAGCAGCAACATGAAACTAATAAAGTGTGTATGATATATTTTAAATACCTGACATGAAATGTTAAGCTAGAAGCCAATTTAGGGATTCTTGGTATGGGTGGAGGATGTTTAATTGGCTTACACAGATAGGGGAACCATGTAAGAAATGACCCTTCCAACGAAAAGAGACAAACCCTTCTTTTACTGTCTTCCAACTTCTCAAATCCATACTGGGAGAGTCTGATTCAATAGGAAGGATACCTACAAGGTATTCTTGAATGTAGTTTGAGTTGAGAAACAGTGGTTCATCCTATGCGGGTACCATCTCGAATTCCAAGCATGTTCTGGGGTACACTGAGGTGAAGCCTCTGCTCTTAGGATGAAAAAATAATCTGGGAATTAATTTTACTTCAGAGAGAAAATGGACATTCTTCATGTGTAGAAAGCTATGTTTGAGGTTTATTTCACCAAAGTATCCTGACACAATGCCTTTATTAAAGAGATTTTAATCCTAGAAAGTCAGTAAAGGAGTTTCCTTTTCAGCAGGTAGACTATTAACATTAAGCTAAAATAAGACCAACTGGTAAGGGATCCCAAATGTTGGTTGGGAAATTTAGATTTGATCCTGAAGATCAAAGGGAATCTTTGGAAAGTTCTGAGCTGAAAGTAGACAAGTTTAAAAAAAGAGACGAGAGAAGCACCTTAAGGAGGAACAGATACTAATATTGCTGTGGATCTAGCATATTCCAAGAACCAAGATTGCATTATTTCATTCAACTTTTACAATAAATCTCAAGTAATGGTATTTTTATCTGTAATGCAGAGAAGGAGTTTGAAACTCAAAGGAGTTAATAAGCAGTAGAACTGGGTTTGAACCTACATCTGGATAACTCTCCAGCTATCTCTATAAACCCCCTCTGCAACCCCTGAGTTTAAAACCAGTCATGAGGAGGTATGCACTGATGAGACAGGATAAGGAGGGTCAGCCAAGAGCAGGGTTGAGGTTCAGGGCTAGGATGGACACTAGGGAAGTGGAAAAGAAAGATACTCTACATCCTAGCCATGACTTTAAGACAATCACATGATAGAAGTGGAGGAAAGAAAAGTAAGTTAAAAACCAAGAGATAGCGGTTGAGCACTGGGTTGCGAAGCTGCCGCAGCCTCTGTGGCGCCGGTTCGAACTGGAGGAGGGTCCCACATGGCGCGCAGATCTGCCGCCCACTGCTCCCTCAGCAGTGTACTTCAATTGCGCTTCTGACTGTACCAGTGCATGTAGCATGGAGATTGGTGGTGCCATTGGTATGCCTGGAGCAAGGAAGAAGGAAGCTCTAGAGGGTGAAGATGACCTAGGAAACAGCTAAAAACAAACTGTCTCTGGCTGTAAATCCATGAATTCTTGCCCACAGCCATACAGTTGACCCTCAGTAATAGGGCTTTAAACTATGTGTGGATTTTCATGTAAACAGAGGGTGTAAATGTCTGGTATCAATAAATATGTACAGTAGTATAATATTTTCTCTTCCTTATGATTTTCTTGAAGATATTTTTCTCCATTTCTTTATTGTAAAAATATAGTATATAATAAATATAACACAAAACATATGTGCTAATTGACTGTGGTGCTGATAAGACTTCAGCTATGAGTGGTCATTTTGCGGGAGTCAAAAGTTACACACAGATTTTCTACTGCTGGAGAGGGTCAGCAGCCTCAACCTCCACATTGTTCAAGGATCAACTGTACAATCTGTATTGCTTCAGGCAAACATTCTTTTCTTTTGGTTTCTAAATAGTTCAAAGAAGAAGGAAGCCATGGTGTCATTCTATTTCTTTACAGTCTAATCTTCTCCAGAACATTTGAAAGGTAAATTCTCCAAATATTTGCACAGCTGTTTCCCATAGGACTGGGGTCACATAGACTATATACCTTTTTGTTGAAAAGTATTTTCATGGCCTATTAGAAACATGAGTATATTTTTTTTCCCTAGCGGATACTGTTGGTATGCCCTCTTCTGCAGTTATTTTTATTTTATTAATGGGCAAGCAGAAATCATCAGTAAAGTTTAAATCTGCTTTTTTTTTGTATAGTAGCAGACTCGTTCTTGTGGTTATAGATATTGGCACACAACACCAAGTTTATTTGTACAAATTTCATAAATGAAAATGTTTTATTATTTATATACGCAATAAAATAGATCCACAAATTATTATTTTTATCTCTATGACATGTTTTTAGCACTGTGGAAAATATAAATAAAAGAAGGTATGGCAGGTTCCAGTCTGGGAAAGATAAGAAATATACACAGAGGTACTGGGCTAACCCCAGGTGGTAACTGATGTGGTAAATAAGGTGTGAGCCAATGAGCCTTAGTGGATTCCAGAAGAGGAAGGGTTGCCAACATAGAGAGTAGTCAAAGAAAGCTTGGATGAAGTGGAATTTCTTTATGTGCTTGAAAATAAAGATAAGCTTTTGAGAGTCCAAGGTAGATAGTGAGCCCCCAAAAGGGAATATTTACAAGACTTGAAGCAGTGTTCCTGAAATTTGTTTTTTGCATATCACCATCACATTTTTATAGTTTATATTATTTGTTTAACAGTTTTATTTTACTCAACACATATTTAAATATCAACCTCTTTTTAAACATTAATATCCTTTAAATCATGTATTTGCTGTGCTAAAGAAAAAATATATTAAAATAAACACATCACCATAAGGATTTTAAAATGTTCATATCTATACCACCAATGCTACACTTTGGGAAATCCTGCCCCAAATTATATCTGATGCTACCAAGGCATTACCATGTTTCCTCCAAGTCTTTGGGTCTTATTCACTGAAGGGCATGACCCCCAATCCTATGTTAGAAAAAATCTAACCAAATTAACTTTAAAGATCTATTAACTTTATTAAATAATTCATAAATCGGGCAGCATCCCAGCTAGCAAGCAGAAAGACATAAAAGACGTACAAAATGAAACATTTTTATAGGTAGAAAGAGAGCAAGATAAGGGAAGAGGGATTATTTCAGTCTTAGGTGACCTACCTATGGGGAATGGATAAAGGTCTTGTAACTCATTATCTCATATACTTTTGGGGAATGGAAAAGAACCTCTTGGTGCCGACCAGAAAATTCCATGCTTGGAACTACAGTTAGGTTAGGTGTGAAGTCTTGGTGGGCATAGCACAAACACCTTTACTTTCGGCTTGCTGTAGTCGGAAAATACGTTCCTTCAAGAACACATACAGTTCACATGCCAGTATCCAGTACCTCCTCCTAAGTGACAGCAGAGCCACAGTCCATCTTGATTTTATATTGTCAAGGGTAGGGTCTCAACTTCTGCTCCCTGTCTAAGTAGTCAAGACTGCACTTCTGTAGCCCATCTGCAGTCAAGAAATGGGCACAATTCCCAAGCTAGTATCTTTCCTTTGAATAGTCCACTCTACTCTGCTTTGGGTCAGCGCTCTCTATTTGGAACATCTTGCATTTCCACCCAAATCCAAACATCCCTTGTCACTCAGAGCAGTGACATCTGCACGGAGCCCAGCATCTCCCCAGAGCACACACAGGGAGTGTGTGCGCACCCCTTATCATTCACATCCCACAACTGCACTCTTAGCCCACCTATCACTTCTGCAACCCCAGTCCTGGAAACTTTTCCTGGTGAGAGATAAGGCAAGCTGCTGCCTCACTTTGTGGGGGGGGGGGAGTGGGGGACTGTAAGTTCTGAGAAGTCATTGTGTCTGACTGAATGCTGGTGGCTTCTCCTGTGCTGGAGGCTACAGGAGGACCTAGACGTCTCCACCACTCATCTGCTACAACCAACTGCTGGAGGCTTTCTGTGCAGGCAGGTGGGTTGGAAGACTTTGCTTTTTTTTATTATAGAGTCTGAATTCTAGAGACTTGTTTTTCAACAAAGCATATTTTCTTCTTAAATGATGAGCTATCAAGTTATCTTTGAAAGACTAAAAAATTTTAACTTTGTTATCCAATTTCTATCACTATCGTTCCTAGTTTACCCCTCAAAACCTTACATTACCAAGTTCTAGAAACATTGGAAAATACTTTGACAAGACCCACCAAAAATCCCTAATAACTGGGAAAAAAGTATCATACCATAAAAATATCTGAACTCCACACTTCTTAAATCACAACTGTGGAATCCAACACTCAAAAGAGATGCAAAGGCAGGGAAGGGCAAAAAGATCAGAGTGAAGCCCATGGGAAAATAGGACATACGGTTTAAGAAAAATAGGCAATAAAATATCATTTTAATACTACCAAAATGTTTATGACATGTTTTCCCAGAATTACAAATTGTATGATTTTATTATTTTCAGTAAAAATGGTAATGTTAGGTGATGATTAGTAATGTTATTCTTTTCAGTAAAAATGGTAATTTTAAGTGATTATTAAAAGGAAGAAGAAATTAAGTCCTTGTTTCATTGCTACCTAACGTGTAAATATTTGTAAAATATGTCATCTAGGCAGTTTTGAATATGATTTTGACTGGAAGAGCAAGTCCCAATGTCTTTAATGGCTGTCAGAAAGGAAAGACACAGGAATTGTTACGTGGTGTCCTGACCCGCAGTGAGGTTGGCTATTTGCAATGGGGTAAGGATGCTTCAGCGGATGACAGACTTTCACAGGTGAGTGTGTTTCTACTCACAGCCACACAACCAGTGTCGATATTTTGATATTTTTAAAAGGTCTCTATATTAAAGCAATTCAAACCTTACCTTACTTTTTCCTTTACTGTATACCACCCATGATGCATGCCCATATACCACACACACACACACACACACACACACACACACACACACATACATACATTCTGGGTCTATATGGAAATATCCAAGTCTACTTGTCTCATATTTTATTTTATATATTCTTATGCATAGAGAGAATAGGTAACATAAGTAATAAGCAATTATTTAAAAAAAAACACTATTATAGCCCCCTTCTTAGAAATTGGTACTGTAAGCAACTAATGCATATCCTTCCCAATCCTGAATTTGTGCAAATAGATGCATATATTCTATTTATTGTTTGAAGCTTTCAAAAAGTCACATAATAAAAGGAACCTCACTTATAAAACTCCCCTCAAATAGCTTTCAGCTCAGGTGAAAATGTGCCATTGAAAAGCACAACCAAACAAACAGGAAAGATAGTAATTATACCCACCCCAAACCACAAATCAGAAGTACCTCAGTGATATGTGCACAAAAGTTTTCATCCCAACCCCCAGGAAAGGCAAGGCAGAGTTTGTGAAGAGCAACAGTTCTTTGGTCCTGAGTGGTCTTAAAAACAGCCAGGATTAAGTCAATGTAGGGGCAAACCCCTCAACCTTGTGGCCCCAGGGCCTCCCAACCATGAGGGCCAAATGAGACGCCTGCTGCCCCAGGTCCCTCCTGTGCTTAAAGCCCCAGTTCCTGCTCACAGCCCCTTTCACCTGCACAAGTTTCACACTTTATACAGTCCTTTCATATCCATAGTTTCATCAGTCTTCCCGCCTACTGTTGACTCCAGCTGCAGTGTGGTCTTCATGAAATCAGCCTCTCACAACACATACAAATCATGATTCTGGTGACAATTGGAAAACAGTGCCTGCCTAGAACAGAATTACTACATTTTGTGTACAAATGTGTTTTAAAAATTTGCTCCTTTTTTCATTTTGTAATCTAAGTCCTTCATAGAAAACTGAGAAGTGACAAATAAGCTAAAAGTAAAAGAAATCAACTAAATCACCCAGGGGTAAATCCTACCAGAAAAGCTTCCTTTTCTTTTTCTTTCTTATATAAATACATTCTTTTCTACTCTTCTAAAGCCTGCTTTTCTCATTTAACACAAATATCTTTATATCCATGAACACATGTCTTTCACCAAATTCTGTGGATGCAGAGTCACACTGTATAAATATGAAACTTTGCTTTGACTATATATAGAGAATAGATTGGTTATTATTTCACTTGTTAAGATAATTTGAGAATTAAACTTAAATTTTTATATGTACTAACTAGGAAAACTAAGCCTTTACATTTTATTTTACATATTTTTCTTTTCTTTCAACCATGCATGACCTCTTGATGTCCCTAAGCCAAGAAATATTTATTTATTCCAAGACTCAATTTAGAGAAAAAGAGTGAGATATACTGGTGGCAAATTTTAAGGGGCCCAAAAGCCACAATAACAATTTTAGTGTTTTTCCTATTATTACAAAATTCTTTCACAATATTATGTTACTGTATCCTTATTATAAGGATTTAAAAGTGTTTATCATATTGCAGTCACTTAAGTAGGAAATTCATAAACTTTTGTCTGTCTCTGCAGCAGCTCTGTAGCATGTATTGGCTTATTTGAATCTAACCTTTACTGCAGCAGTAACACATGTCACAGACTTGACCTGTTATTCTCCTTTTTCCCTTTAATACACACTTAAATAAATCAAGAAACATGTTTTTTTAGAGTTCACCCTGTGTGCCACTAACTTTCATGACACAAGCACCTTGTATCACACTTTGGAATAAAAGTGAAGGAGTTCCTGTGACATGTGGGAAACACCTTTGACCAGGAAACCAGGACACTTAGCTGGAGGCCTGCAGTCAACTCACAGAAGTGTGATTCAGACCAGTCACTCCCCCTCCCTGAGCCTGTTTCCTCATCTACATATTAGTGTCCTAATACTGGCTCAACAACCATAGGAATGATGTGGAGAGCAAAGAAATCATGAATGCCAAAGCCAGTTGGAAAACCAAAATGTTCTATCTATCTATCTATCTATCTATCTATCTATCTATCTATCTATCTATCTATCTATATAAAACTTTATCAGAGATGTGAAAAAGGAAAAACAGTACAGTGTTTTATTCAATGATATAATATATTGTATTTTTTTTAAAGATTCATTTATTTATTTATTTATTTATACAAGCACTGGGTACAGTCAGAAGCATGGGAGGGTGAGAGAATTCACCAGAGCCAGAGCGGGGAGCAGAGCAGGCAGAAGGACCAAAGTACACTGCTGAGGGGAGCAGTGGGCAGCAGGAGAGGTCTTCGCTCCATGTGGGACCCTCCACCGGTGGCCAGGGAGCAGCCAGGGATCGAACCAGCGCTGCAGAGGCTGCGGGCAGCTTCGCAACCCAGCGCTCAACCGCTGCACCACCAGGGAGGCCCAATATACTGTATTCTTATAATAAAATATGACAGAAAATAAAATGTTATTTTAAAAATCATAAGGAAGATAAAATACATTTACACTACTTAATAATACATTTCACATTATCTGTTACAAGAAAATTCACATATAACTGAACTCTCACAGTTCAAATCTACATCATTCAAGACTCAACTCTTCATACACTGATGCTATAAAAAGGATTTAGATAATCAATGTTGGAGAACTGTGGTCTTGACACTGACTACTCATTGAAATCTCAGAGAGTGTTGAATTTTTAGTAGACTTAATTTTATTTAAGAGCAGCTTTAGGGTCTCAGTAAAATTGAGGGGAAGAGGGTCCTCCCTGGTGGCACAGGGGTTAAAATCTCAGTGCTATCAAGCTATCGCTAGCCACCGTGGCATGAGTTCGATCCCTACCCAGGGAGCTAATCCACATGGCGCAGCAGACCTCTCCTGACTTGCCTGCTGCTCCTCTCAGCAGTGTATTTCAGTCAATCTGTCTGTTCTGCTCCCCACTCTGTCTCTGGTGAATCCTCTCACGCACCCCCATTTTTGACCTACACCCCAGTTTCTTATATGCATAAATAAATAAAAATAAATCTTTTAAAAAATTGAGTGGAAGATACACATACATAACCTCCCTATTATCAATATTTCCCCACCAGAGTGTTATATTTGTTATAATTTTGAACCCACATAGACACATCATTATCAAAAATCCATATTTTACATTATAGGTCACTTTTGGTGTTTTACATTCTGTGGGTTTAGAAACATGTATTACAACATGTATCTACCATTGTGACATCTATATGGAGTGGTTTCACTGAGATGAAGACCCTCTGCATTCCACCTATTCAACTCATTTTCCTCCTTAGCCCCAGGCAACCACTGGTCTTTACTTTCTCCATAGTTTTGTCTTTTCCAAAAGGTTATATAGCTGTAATCAGACAGCATATAGTCTTTTCAGGTTGGTTTTTTTTCACTCAGTAGCATTCATTTAAGTTTCCTCCAAGGCTTCTCACAGCTGGAAAGCTCATTCCTTTACATGACTGAAAAACATTCTGTTGAAATGTTGTGAATAATACACCATTGAACAAATAATGTTTCATCAATACACCATAGTTTATTTATCCATTGCCTACAAAAAACATCTCGGTTACTTCCAAGTTGGCAGTTTTGAATACAGGTTTCCCCTGCTATCCAAAAGTAGAGCATTCTTGGTAGGCTGTTTTTTGATTCTGGGAATGTTATTGCCACTAATTTATATAGACACATTTTAAGCATTTCCAGACCAAAAATAACCTACCAAATCATACCAAATAGCAATGTTCAACTATTATATATCAGGGGAAACCAGTAAAGCTACTATAAACATCTTTTTGCAGGTTTTTGTATAGACTTAAGTTTCAGTTCTTTTTGGTAAACATCAAAGTGTACAATTACTGGATATATGATAAAAATATGTTTAGTTTTGTAAGAGACAGCCAAATTGTCTTCCAAAGTGGCTGTAGCACTCTCCCTAGCCACAGCAATGAGTGTGAGTTCCTACTGTTTCACATCCTCATTGGCATTTGATGTTTTCAGTGTTGTGGATTTTGGCCATTTCAGCAAGTATGAAGTGGTATCTCTTTGTTATTTTAATTTGCGTTTCCCTGCTAATATATAATGTTTTCCTGCTAATATACAATGTGGACCATCTTTGCATGTGCTTATTTATTTGTATATCTTCTTTCATGAGATGCCTGTTAAAGGTCTTGGCACACCTGGGGAGCTTTAAAGCTATCAGTGCCCAGGTCATCCCCAGAACAGTGTCACTTTCGTGAGCGTGGGAACTGTATGGTTGTCCAGGGCCTGCAGTTAGAAGGTCTGCTCTGGACTTAGTGTTCTGCTGTCATTGTCTTGAACTTCTTAATAATTTTTGATGGATGTACATTTTCATTTTGCACTGGGCTCTACACATATATGTAGCTAGTCCTGTCCAAAGACTATTTGGGATTATCTGGGAATCGGAATTTTTTTTAATGTTTTTTTTTTTTACTTGTCTTTTTTTTTTTTTATAGAGGCATGTTTTATTTATTTATTTATTTGTTTGTTTGTTTTTGTTTATACATGCACTGGGTACAGTCAGAAGTGCGGGAGGGTGAGAGAATTCACCAGAGCCAGAGCGGGGAGAAGAACAGGCAGACTGACGAAATACACTGCAGAGGGGAGCAGCGGGTGCGGCAGAAGAGGTCTGCTGCACCATGTGGGACCCTTGCCTGGCAGCTGGGGATTGAACCGGCACTGCAGAGGCTGCAGGCAGCTTTGCAACCCAGCGCTTAACCACTGCGCCACCGGAAAGGCCCCAGAATTTTTTTTTTTAAAGATTTTATTTATTTATTTATTTACACAAGCAGTGGGTAAAGTCAGAAGCGCGGGAAGGTGAGAGGATTCACCAGAGCCAGAGCGGGGAGCAGAACAGACAGA